TATGAGGTTATTTTTAGTCTTATATTTTAGTTTATATATTTACATAAAAAAATAAATAAAAAAAGAAAATTCTCCAAACCATACTTTCTGGTATCTCGGAATTCCTCATATTCTCTCAATAACTTTTGACTTTTATCCCTACGCTATTTTGATACCTATCACATCATTATTTTCTTTTGACATTTTCCGCAGGAATCTCATAATGCCGCCAAACTTTCTCAATTCTCATATTTTATTATATTCTTCCCATCATATTCCTTCAAGATATCCCATTATGCCACTCTTCATGGATTCATAATTTGTAGCTGGGATTGTGGTAAAATTGTAGAATTTATACTACGAGATATGCTAAACAATAAGGGACATACTGGATATCAGCTTTTATTGAAAGTAGAGTTAAAATAGAATGTCTTTATACTAATGGATAATGACAAAACAATTTCGATTAAAGAATTCAAAAGGAATTGAATATGGTTGCAAGGGAGCGAGGTAGTATACTGGCATTTTATGGAATATAACATGAAGATCTATAATCGATTTTTAGAATTGACGAGGAAGTAAGACGCGAGCTGCTTAAAGAAGTGATTAAAAGGATAGGGTAATAACAGATTTTGAGGAAGTTGGACCAAAGTCATGTCTGAAAATTCTGAAATCGAAATATAATGGACTTAATGAGTAAAGAGATATTTTGAAGAGAAAGCAATGTTACGAAAGGATTATGTCAGAAAATATAGCAAACTTTGATGAAACATGGAGGTTTATAACAAATTTTCGAGAAAAATAGGGGAGACTTTAGGAATGTGGAGAGGTTTGGAGAGAATTTTCACAAAATAGGGCAAAAAAATTAAAGAGTGCAAATAATTTTTTCCTGAATAGAGATATTTACATGGCATACATGGCAAATTATTTTGTGGATATTTTTAATGATTAAATCTTTTTTCTTATAATTTTCTTGTTTAGAGTACATTCATTCATACATTTATTCAGATCTTTATTTTTACTTGTGTGGTTATTTCTACTAGGACTCCATTACTTTTATGAAATTTTATTTTGGTTTTTTGTTGCTATTTATTTATTCTAGGAGCGTTATAAAAGAGAATGTGATACAAAGAGCAGCATCTCTGTCGGAACTAGAAGGAGTACATCTGAAGCCACAAGAAGTATTGTGTCGTACTCTTCCAGAAGTAGTTCGTTAAGTGGACTACCTATTCATAAAACTGATTATTGTAAAAAAAAAAGTAGTGATAGGTCGCCAGTCGACTCCTTGAGCGAATTCAGTGATAGTAAGATTGATGGTTAGTTTTTAGATATTATCTGAGTTGTTGATTTTAATTTTTTAATATTTGTTTATTTATTTAGATAAATATGTGGCTGATGAGATTCATGGTTTATTCATTTTTTTCATTTTTTTATTCGTTTTAGATCGAAAAAGTAAGATAAATCGTACTGACGATTTCCATAGGCGAAAACATGTAGAATCCATTTCTTCATCTTCTGATAGCGAAAAGGAGTGGGAACGTCTTCTCAAGAGAGATCAAAAATACAGGCGGTCAATGTAATTTTCTGCACTTTTTTAAAAATGAAATATTTTATAAATAAAATAAATAAAAAATGAAAAAAAATGAAATATAAGAAATAAAACATTTTTGAAGGCCCCACAAGTTTGCTGAATCGCGTCCCTATGTCCATGGATCTTTTTATCGTGGCTCAAAGAGATGGCACGATTTTTATGATAATGAAATGGGAAGACCGGGTTATCGGAAACGAGGTTTCGTTTTTTTCATATGATTCATTTAAAATTTTTATTATCGAAAATTCTATTTTTTAATTTTTTTTTGAGAATATTTTGAATCTTCGAATCTTTGAAAATTCGCTAATGATTTTTAAGGCAGTGGTATAAATGCCGTTTTTATTGATCGGAATTATAAAAAATACGCTGGAGATCGGCTCAGAAGGTGTTTTTATCCAAATTATATTGAGAAAGGATTTTTTTGGGAGAAAGATGCCGATAAAGGAATGTCTAGAGAAGACAGCCTTGTCTCCACGTTGTAAGTATTATTTTTTGGCTATTATTTTTGTCGGTATTTTTTTCAAGCTCATATTTTATCAATAACTTCTTTAGACGCCAACCAAGGCGATGGCATAACTATCGCGGCCATAAATATATTGGTTTAGAATCAAAAAGAAAGCATTACAGTAATTCAAAGTCAAGATCGAGGTTTGGTTTTATTGAATACGATTAATATTTGCTCAGGAACGATTTAACGATTTAAAGTGTTTATGAAATGCTCTTTGCTTAGAATTTTAATGGAACGTATTTTGTAGTTCAACTGCTTTAAGATAAAGTAAAAAGTATTATCATTTTATGTTTTATTGATGTTTCTATAAAGGAGTTTGTCTTCACATACGAGTTATTCGCGCCGAAGTTATTCTTCATCAGACAGAAGTGAGCGAAGACGGAAATATGGTGATTCAGAAAATGAACATAAAATTGATAAGAAGAAACTTTTGGAAATTGCTCAGAGAAACGTTGCTCAGATGGCACAGGTGATTTTGCGATTTTGATTTGTTTTATTTACCTATGAATTACATCTAATGCACTCGTATGGTGAGAATATAATTTCTTTTGGATTTTTTAAAAGTAAGTTATTACTTTTAGTCAGGTATTTTGCCGAATTCTTCAAATGAGGGAAAAACGCAAATAAAACCAGGTGCACAGTCAGTTGATCAACTTGTTGGTATGGTTTATTGGTTTATTTTTTCATATTAGATGCTTTTTATTCACTGATTAACCAAATGTAATTGCAGATTTTTGTCAAAAATTGCAACAATCACAAGACAAAGACAAGGCTTCCTATCGAGAAAAGGATGAGAAAGTAGTTATGAATGATTTGGATATGCTGCCACCTAAGAAGAAAAAATTAGAAGAAGATAGCGATTTTATAAAACACCCCTATTCGCTAAAACCCACAGCACCAATAACTATCAATATCACGGTAATTATCAATGAAAATTTATCGTTTGATCATTATATTAAAATATATTAAAATGTACATTAAAATATTAAAATGTACTAACAATAAATTTAATTTGTGGTCAGTTGCGAAATTTTGAAAACATTTTAATATGGTTAAAAACTTATTTAAAACCTCCTATAACCTCTATCATGAATTCCCAGTTTCTGTAGTTTTCCTTCATTTTGATGAACCAAGCATGTTTGCTTTTGATGATAGAGATATTGATGGGATGAGGGATATGAAAGCAACATAATATAGATTTAAGCAAAAAGTATGAGGGAAAAGTATTTCTACTCTATGAGAAGAAAAAGAGATATGGAAAGAGAACAAAGATAACAGAAATGGGATAAGGGACATAAAATAGTAGCAATATAATAAGGTTTTCAGAGGTTCGATTTTCACCTTGGTTTGAAATATTCAATTTTAAGAGGAAAGGGATATGCTGTGGTTTGAAGATATTTTTCTCTGATGATAATGTGGAACTTTTCGCTATTTAAGAAGTCGTTATGGATCAATTTTAAATTTTAGAATGCGGTACCATTACCAATAAAAACGCCAGCTCAGCGTACATTAGAAGAAAGTCAGTTAAGGATGTGCTATCCAGTTTCGTCCGGCGAACAGCATCGTGAAAAAGATAATGTATATTATTGCATATGTTATCGATTTAATATAAGCTGGAAATTTTATAGTTTTACTAATCCAATATTATTTACTATGGTTTCAGGTAACTTCCAACATTGATGAAAGCATTTTCCTATTACCGCCACCGCCGAAACCACCTATACTTCAGCCAGAGTCAATTTCTTCGATATCTTCTTTGTCATTTTTCTCAAGTTTGCCACCTCCTCCACCACCACCAGTTTTTTCTTCTTCGACTGATGTAATTACAAATAAAAATCGCGATGAACCATCGATGACGAATGTCACAGGTTATCAAGATGTATTCGCTGAATCAGATGGATCACTTACTAAAACGGTGTGATTTTTAATTCTTAATCTGAAATGCTCATCGGCTTATGTTTGATGTATTTATAAAATATAAAATGATGATTTTCAGTTGGTTGATCTCTCATAGTAATAATCCAGTCACTTGTATTTTCTTGCCTTTGAACTATTTAGCTGCAGTCTATTTTACTTTTCTTATTTTAATTCTTGTGATCCCCATATTTCACTAATTTTTGTGATTGCAGGGGGTTGTCTAAATATATACTGCGTATTTTTAATCGTAATTCGTATCATTAAGTATAAATGTTTGTCGCTTTTATCTTATTAATAATCTGTGATAAGTGGCATAACGGGGAGTTATTCATTTTGTGAAGCAAGAATTTTTTTTGGCTGTAGTTTGATGTTTTTCATTACCTTCTTCATGTTCGCTGAGAAATCAGTCCTATTTTTTCAATCCAAAATTCGTTTAAGTTAATCTTTTATCATATTTGTCAAATCGCTGAAACTGTGTCAAATAAACTTTTAGTTGTTTTTCAAGTATTTTAGCAAGCAAAAGGCTGCAACTATGAATTATAGATTCGTAGATTTGTTTGTTTTTTATGATGAACGTTTTTTGTTTGAACATTGTGTGCATTTTTGGTCACCCAAAAAGTGATCGTTATGAAAAAATAATGATTCTTTGACAGATTGTTTTTTGACAATATTGGAATCTTTCGAAAGATTATTGATGATTGGACTATTTTGTGCAACATATAAGGTACTTTTAGCCGGCGAATATAGGTAAAATTTTGGCAAAGCGAATTAAAGCCGCCAAACGATTACAAGAATTCCCAGATGATATTGAAGCGAGAAATGAATTGAAAGATGCTGAAAGCGAGGTGGCGTTTTACGTTTTATCATATTTTTAAAATTTTTGATAGGATCTGGGAATTGGAAAATCATTTATGCCTGTTTTTTTCGGTAAGAATAAATACTTAAAGTAGCTGTAAAGTAAAACTTTTGCGTAATTAATTTATAATTTAGATTAATGCATGGGCGACCAGCAAAAATCTTGGTAAATTCACAGGTTCCACAGGTGTTAATATATTAAGTGTTGATCAGCTTGGACCTGATGATCCTAAAAATTCTGCTTGGGTTAAAAAGGTTTGCTAAATTATATTCAATTTTTAAACGTTTTTTGATAAAAGATTCAGTTTTGATTTGTTTTTACGGTATATAGTTTGGTTTTTGGGTCATACGAAATTGAAGATTTTTCCACCATTTTGTCTAAATTTGCGTAAAAAGAGATAATATTGCAAATGCACCAAGATTTTCTTTTTCAAATTTATTTTTAATTTTTCAATGCAATCAATTTTTCAATCAATTTTTTGTTGAGAATTTCAAGAGATAGGTTTTGTAATCTTCAAAAGAAATAAGATTTCAGTTTTATGAGATTGTTTTATGGGATAGTAATAATTGTGTAATATGTAAGCATTTAGTGGGTTTTTCAAGGTTTGTCACAGGCGAAATGATTTTTTCAGTTTGGTGCGCAAAGAATTGGATTTGAATTTTTTTTATTTTTTTATATAACTTCAAAGTGGTAGCCAGGTAGTATCCATTTTCTTCCTTACAAAATCTTTTATAGCATGAAAAGTTCGATTTATTCATACAATGCAATTTTTTGCTGAATGAATAAAATTTCGTATCATTTGGAAGATACGAAAAATTACTGTTTTTTTTGTTAATCTTTTTTATTTGTCAAATCTTACGTTTGTTCAAGTTTAAAAGAATCTTTTTGTAAAACAATTGGATAATTTATTATAATTGGAAATATTGTACTTTCTTATTTTTAAGCTAAACTATTTTACAATGTTGATACCTATAGTTTGGCAATATCAGTTATTCTTTAGTGATTTATCAGTATTTATTTATTTAAAGTTCCAACTTTTTATCGGATTGTTTTTGTTCAGTAGTAAATGGTGGTATCAAAATTGAACAGAATGGCATTATTAAAAATTGTTTTTAAGAAAGCTTATTTTTACCAAATTATGGTGTCGATATTGTTAAGTTATTTTTAAACCCCGAAATTTTTTAAAATCATATATTCGTATTTATATTGTAAAAAAAATTTTGCGAAAATCATTACCATATGTTTTTTCTTCATTTAAAGGGCTTTTCAGTGTAATTGTATTAGTTGATTTTAATTAATTTTTTGTGAAAACGATTTTCATATGTTTTCTTTTTATTTTGGGGGTTTTTCCAGTGTAATTTTGTTAAGTTCAGTTTTAATCAGTTTATTTTTAGCACGTTTTTTTATTGATTCATATAAATTGCGAATATTATTGCAGTAATGGAATGATATGCAGCATGAATTAGTATATTTCTGCTTTCAATTCTTTATTTGGATTTGATGATAATGAATGACCGGATAATTCTAATTGATAATTGATAATCGGATAATTCTTGTTGACTCTTATTGGATTCTAATGGTTTTGTGTTAAATTATTTCCTATTAAACATAAACTATATCCATTTTTAAAAATTAATTACATAATTGCTGACTATCGAGAAGAATGGTTTATTGAAGTGTTTCATGAAAAATATTTTCTTATTCAGAATAAATTTCTAAAAAAAAATTTTTTTTATAGCAATAATGCGGCAGATTCGATATGAAAATCGATCAGTCGGGTGTATTGCTAATTTGTCGTTTTTATCAGCGTTTTTTCCCATTTTTATGAATGATATTACGCATATCTCTTTTTTCTTTTTTTTATGAATTTACGAATGTGTACAATTTGCAAAAATTTAAAAAGTTTTCATTGCTTATAACTAATTTTTTAATTCGTGATTCATTAATTTTATATTTTATTTGTACATTTCATGATTGCTTGAAGTTTGCTTGTGAGACTTCCCTTAGTCTTCAAGTGATTTGCTGAGAAAACGAAAGAATTCATTAGTAAATCATTTAAGTCCATTTAAGCGTTGGTCTTTTCGTATTTCAAAGTATTTTATTTTATAGAAATTATAGAATTTCGATACGGTTGAGCAATAACATTCTAAAAAGTAGTTGAAAATTCCGTATTTCTTTTTCTTAAATTTTAAACTTTAACGAACAGGAAAATTATTTAATTTAAGAAACAACAAATATTTAAGTGCTCTTTACTCACCATTAATTACGTTGGTTTCTTCCTTTTTTTGATTTTTTTCCCCAAATTAGTTTAAAAAATGTTGAGAACAGAGAGTTCCAATTGATGTTTAGGCATTTAGAAAAAAAAATGAGTACAGAAATTTTTTAGTTCTCTTGGTTGTTAATTAGATTTGTCGCTTATATTCTTATTTTATAAATGCTTCATTTTAGCTCTTTTCATTCAGGATCAATTAAAAAATGCCAAAGAGGTAACAAGTGGTGTTGGCTTGAAATTAATGCAAAAGATGGGTTGGACGCCAGGTGAGGGATTAGGAAAAGATGGTGCTGGTCCGTTAGTACCACTTGTTCTCGATATTAAGGCAGATCGAAAAGGTTCTTTTAATGTTTTTGGTTCGATAAGTATTTTTAATTATAGCAAGCTTTGCGCTAGCATAACAAGTAATCCATTGTTATTGTAAGCATAAAGGCTTCTTTTTATAGGTTTGGTTGCTCAAGATGAAGTTTTTAAAAAACCACCTCTGTTTGTCCAAGAAATAACGGGTTGGTCTGCATTCGTTGCTATTTTATATTTATTCGGATTTAATTTTGGTGTCTTTTTATTATTTATTTATTTTTGTATATTTATTTTTTTAAAAGATTTTATCACTTTTTTCGGCTACTAGAAATCCCACAGTTTTTTACAGGTAAGCATCCGGTATCATTGCTGATGGAGCTTTGTTCGAAAAAGAAATGGTCCTCGCCCCAGTTCTCTTGCGTTGAAAGTGGTCCGTCGAATAATCGTAGATTTTTGTGGACAGTAAGCATTTCCTCTTATTCTTTATTCTTTGCATTGAGAGATATGGTATGAAATTGAAGGCAATTGTTAATGGAGTGGAATATCGGCCTATTATTCCTTCAAATAGCAAGAAATTGGGAAAAGCGCAAGCATGTCAGGTTGTTTTGCAATCGCTTGGTTTGGTTCCTCATGATCCATCTCTACCATTTGTGTTGTGATGTTGCACTATTCTTTTCGTAGCACCGTTTCGTAGATTTTTTAAAAATTGTTTACGATTAAAGTAAGGTTTATCTGTTAAGAAAAAAATAGAGGTGTAGTCCAATTTTGTACGAATATGTCATTTATCTAAACAAACTCGAGAAATTGGAACATATGAAATATTACAAAATATTTGCATATTTGTGTATTGCCATTTTACTTTTATTTTAATATTATTTTATATTCAGAAATTTTCAGAATATTTCTTTTTATTATATTATTTTACTATTTTCCACTATTGTTTTTCATTTTTCCTTTAACTTCTATTTCATTTACATGAATGGTAAATAAATTTCAAAGGATATTCTTTATTTCTCGTGAATCTTTTTCCTGTTATGGTTATTTTCGAATAACGAAAAAAACCATAATATTTTTTTTCATTGTTTAAAAAACATTTGCAAAAATTTGAAAGAATTTAAATTTGCCACTGATAACAAATTTTTGAAATATCAACGAAGTTATTTTTTGATAATTTCATAAAAAACAAAGATTTTATCGAAATTTTGAGTAAAAATCTTATCAATGAATAAAAAAATAATTAAAATGGAATTGAATGGATTTTCAGATTTAAAAAATTTTTTTTCGAATAAAAATAAAAATTGAAAAATTTTGGTGCATTGTAGTCCAATTATATTAGATTTGTTACTTTTTTGTGTTTTTTATTTTATAATGTTTTTTCTTCGTTTTTTTGAAAAATTTGCTAAAATTCTGTAGAAAAATAAGAAAAATATAAAAGAAGAAGTTCAATGTGGTTTTTTTTTGGGGAAAGAAGTGTAAAAATTATATTAAATAATGGTTGACAAATGTCAAATTTTAATTTATTTGTTCGTTTTGAGAGTTGCAAGTCCAAACTGCATTCCCAAACTGCATTTGCAATTCAATTTTTTCTAATATTTTCGATTCGACTTACATTTGGCTGATTATTTGTGGTCTGGAAAGGCTCACTTGCAGTTGGCGGTGTGAGGTATTTCTCTCGCAATTATCCGAGCAAGGTTCCCTTCCCCCCTCCCCCCACCCCCAAATAGTGGTCAATTTATCAACAGAACGCGTAGAGTTGGATAGAGTGTCATAAACATTTGAAAATTATTTTAAAGTGCTGTTTAATAGTTTAAAACCAAAAAACATACTGTATGGCTATAGATTATTAAATAAAAGTCGCGTAAATCATTTCATCTTCACCGAATGACTAAATTTCTTCGCTACAAAAATGGTTTTTTTTTGCAAACGATTTTATATTTAAATTTTATATCCAATTGGCTTCGTATTCAACAAAGTGAAATAATTGTGAATCTATGAAATGCATTAAATTAATTTTTGCAAATATTAATTAATTTTAAATTTTATATTCTAATTTTACATTTATTTGTTTTTTTCTATGTATTATGTTTTTTTTTTATGCGTATTATATTTTTTATGTGTATTATTTTATATATTTTTTTATATTAATAAATTTTATGTTATATATGAATATTTAATTATTCGTCTAACTTGGCCGCATAATTTCTGGCTTGATTGGCTCGAATGGCTATTAGGATGCGCGCCTTTCATCAGAGACATAGTTGCCTAACAAATGTGTGCTAAAAGAGAAGCGTAGGCAGTTCATAGGTTTATTAGCAATAGCTTTATCAGAGATATAAATTTTCAGTTTTATATAAAAATGAAAATTTTCACGAAATTTTTTTTTTATAATTTTAGAAAAAATAAAAAACATAAAAATTGCGAAGTTTTTTCGAAATTTTTTCATTCATTTTTCTTTTTTTAAAAATGCAATAATTTAGAGAATCGATTCAATATTTTTTAATTAAATTATTAAAGTATTACAGCGAAATGAAACGAATATCATTCATTACAAATAAAATCGTTAAAATAATCACAGAAAGAAGATTTCGATAATGTCTAACCTGGTTGATATTTTTATCAGTGGTGTTGACGTCGATAATTGCGTAGATTTCGATAATGATGATGGGCGTATTGCCGATGGCGGTAAGAACTGGGAGCATTTTGGAAGCCGACTGGACCCTCTGCATAAGTTTCACCTGGCATGGGAGCTGCCTGTGGTGGTGCTGGGCGTGCTGGCGGTGGTGGTGGAGGTGGGGGTGGTGGTGGTGGTGGTGGTGGTGGAGGTGGAGGTGGTGGCGGAGCTCCTGCACCTTGTGCGTATTTATCACCGCCATTTGCTACTGGTGGAAAGCCACCGCCGCCTCCATTCGCTTGGTAGCCTGCAGCTGCTTGGTAACCGTTTCCTGCTGCTGGTGCTGGCGCATATGGGCCTGGTTTGCGTTCCATTGGTCCTACTGCTACAATCGAATATACAGTAATTTTGAACGGTACGAGTCCGTAAAAACCATAGTTTGGTTTGATTGTTTTTAGAAGATATTTAACTGGAGTATTTTGAAGTTATCTATCAGACTGCATTTTTTCTATGAAATTTTCTTCAAAAATTCGATTTCTTTACCAAAAACTCACAAAAAATAATAGTATTAATACCTGAGACATCTTGAAAACCACTTTGAGGTCCTCCAAAGCCGCTCTCAGCACTGCTAAAACCAGCCTCTTCAATTCCTTGTGCAGGCATTGGTTCAGGCTGAGGACCAGCGCACCCACCTCCACCACGAGCACATGGAGGAGCCATTACATATCCTTCGCCTTTGTGTTTATACCCTGCTGGTGTTGCTAAGGTCTTCGTTAAACATAATAAAAATATTATTTTCACCGCAAACATCTAAAAATTCTAATTTTACGATAAAGTTTACGATTTTTAGAACAGAAACGCTCATATAATTCAAAATGGGTGAATAAAACTTGGAAATTTTAAATTTCAAAATTTTCCCATAAATCCTAAGATTATTTAAAGAATTTGTTTAATAACTAATGCAATCGTATATATTGTCAAGCAAAGAAGACTTACTTTAAACGATTTGTCAATGCCTTGGAGACGGATAAAAATAAATTTTTAAATGAAAATACTGTAAGAAATCTTTGCTTAAATAGCGAAAATAGAAGGGGTTGGAGTTCACCGATCACCAAATTTTCACTAACTACCATCCGGTTTTTGCTCGAATAAAACAAATGCATATCGAACAAAAAAGAAAAAAAATTTTGAAAAAATTGAACTATCACTTCAGTGAATGAAAGTTTTTGATATGAATTCCTCTTCGAATTTTTTAAAATTGTAATATTTTTTAGTTTATTTTCTCAAAATTTTTCATGAAAAGTAAATTATTAACTAAATTATTTTTACTTAATTAAATAATTATTTAATTATTTTTTAATTATAATTATTAAAATAAGTTGCCAATTTCTTTTTTTCATAAAATTTATTATTTTTAATTAATAATTTTTAATTTATTGCAAAAGTTTTTTTCGACTTTTTTTTCGATTTTTCTTTTTTTCTTTGCAGAATTTTTATATTTTTATAGATTTTCATAGATTTTTATAGATCTTTATAGATTTTTTTATAATTTTCGAGGTTAAATGTCGAATAAAGTTTATGAAAAAAGTGTAAAATTATTGAAATCAAATAAATTTCTTACAAATAGCAAAAATAATATATAAATCAAACTGAAAACAAGTTGTCTCATTAAAGGAACATTTTTCTAATTGTCGCTTTATAATCAAACTTGAACGACTTCTTTATGCAGTTAAATAGACGACTGGAAAATGTACTCTTGTAAAATTGTTCATTTGAGAAGGGCCGTTTCGCATTCGTCGACTGCTAATAAAGGTGGTCTATTAGACGCGAAATTGTCGTGAAATTCCCTCTAATATACGGTAAAATACTAGTCGCATATTTAATAATATTGAAATTTATTTTTTATAAAATTAAAATATAAAATTAAAACTTTTTTTCATGCAAAAAATTCAATGACATTGCTATTTCGAGATTCAATTTATTTATATTTTATCAGTTTTCATTTTTTGCATTCTTGGCATTTTTTTCAAAAATTCACCAAAAATTTTTTTCCAGAATTTTTTCTATTTAATTGGAAGTTCTCTGGAAGTGAAAAAATTGCGGTTTTATTTTTTCGATAAATAAAGCTGCCACCTTGCAGAGAAATCACTTACTTAAGGATAGAAAAAATAGATATGAATATGAATACAAACGCTAACAAAATATCATTTTTTATTATCACTTTATCACCTTTGACAGATATGTTTTCGCTAGCAATTAGTCAAATCATTATTGACAGTTCTAAAAGCACATCTTTTTTTTTCTTTCTCCCATTTTTTCTCCCATGTGACAGAAGAAAAATAAAATTTTTTATCATTTTTATTAATTCCATAAATGTAGAATTTGTAATTTATTAGATGCATCTTTTTATCAATTCACTGCCGGTTGAGGAAGTGCCCGATTTTAAATACCTTCGATCCACGCTAATACCAAATGGTCAGGCGAAAGACCGTATTGCAACTCGGACCACGGCAGCTAGAAATGCGTTCTTCCGGACGAAATCTTTATGGAGCGATCGTCATCACCATAAAAACGAAAGTCCGCATCTATATAGCCGTGATTCATTCGATCTTGCTACATGGCTCTGAGACATGGCCAATGAGAGCAGAGGATATTTCGAAGTTATCTGCCTTTGACCACTCTTGTCTAAGGTATATTTTACGGTCGCCGAGTAGATAAAATCTCACAAGATCGCATCCATCTTCTTTCAAATACCACTTGCAATAATAATGTTATCACAGAGCGTCGCTTTCGTTAGGACACGTTCTCCAACATCCACCACAGGAGTTCTTGACGCATATTTCTTTACTTGCTAAATCGTGTGATGGATGTTATCAAAAACGTGATAGGTTAATCAAGACCTGGACTGATACGGTCAAGAAAGATTTTGAACGCATAGGTGGACCAACAATTTATGGATTTAGACGATGGAAAAAGAAATGACTTCTATTACTGTCGACGATGGCATCAGACCGCACCGTTTGGAAACGTCTTATCCTTGTAACCAGCGGAGCCAGCCTAAACAATAATGGTGTGGCGAATGCCAAATTTTATGCAGGAAATAAAAAATAAAAAATGAAAAAATTTTATTTTATTAAAAATACATTTTGGCTTTTTAAAAATAAAACAGATGATTTTTTTATCAAAATATCACGAAATATTCATTATATTTTATATTTATTATTTACTTCGGTAGGTTCTAAAAAATTAATTGGAAATTTAATTCAGAAATATTTGTTATTGTATAAATCGCAGTGGGGTAATTTATTGTGAGTCTAAATTCATTTGACTCGTTGTGAATTGTATGATTAAAATGCGATTTATTTTTTATCTATAAAATTTTATACGGCTTTAATTATAAGAAATTTCGTTTGAAATTCTATTATTATAAGATTTATAAAGATCTATGAGGTTCGAAATATTTCGGGCCTATTTGTAGAATTAAATTAAGAACTGAAAATTTTTTATCCGTGCTATTAATTACTGCAAAAAATTGCTAAAAAAAAGTACCACATATTTACTCCATCTGCATTTAAAAGATGACTAAATCAGGTGAATTACATTACTACGATATTATTTAGTACCTTGTTCAAACTACTATCGGTATAAATAAACAGTCACCATAATGAATTGACCATGATAAAGGATTGGTAAAAGATTGGTGAGAATTTAGAAAAATCCAAAAAAAATAATTTGAAAAAAGCGAAGAAGCTTTTGATTTGTGTTTTCTCTTATCTCCATAATTATTTTTTAGTTTTTATTTTTTATTTTTTCAGATATCTTTTGTTTTTTTCAAAAAAAAATAGAATTAATTAAATAAAAGTATATAAAAATATTCATGAGAATTTATGATTTTTAAAATGAATTAAGATAATTAGTGATAATGAATAATTGGTTTATTACTATTTATTTTCATATATTGCGATTTACCAATTTATTGATAATAATGATAATCATAATCATAATCAAAGCTGAACAATTTGAGCTGTGCTAAGCGGTGTTTGCGAATATTTATTAAGGGCGGCATCGAACACTATTTTTTCCCACATTTGCTTTCTATTTATTGCTCACTATTTCTCGTAAAAAAGGTATAATTTTCTAAATAAAAATTGATCAAACAATAATTAATTAATTCTGATAAAATATTCCGTTCCATTTATTTTTTTATTTATTTATAATTTAGACGCTCTTTTATTGTAATTTTCAATTTTTTTATTTTTTATTTCTTTATTTCTTTTTGAAAAATTACTAATTATCACATTTACAAAACAACGCAAATTTTTAAAATTTTATAATAGTTTAAAGCATCCAATTCTCTATTTTTTTAATAGTTTTTTTATTGATAAGAATTTATATTTTTAATAAAATTAGATAATATTTAATTTGATTTCTAATAATATCTTTTCAATATGGATTTGTGGCAAATGGATTTAATTTAAATACACGCAGTGATAATATGTAAAATGATAATTAGTACTGATAATATATAAAATTCAATTTTGTGCATATTGTGCACGTTGAGAAAAGATTCAACTCGTGCAAAATATGCACTAAATAGCAAAATTATCATCATTTAAAAATTCAGATGGTGCTAGCGACAGTTCACCTGTACTTCTATCGCCAAATCACTCCCTGGTAAAAAACAAACAGCGCAGTAGGCCTAACCAGAAATGGTAGGGCACTTTCTTATAAATAACAAATGACTGTGAATATCTCACCGAACAGTTCTTTCTACAGTAATTGCTGTAACCAAAAATTTTTCATTCTTTTTTGTATAAATAAGTTATATTAGGAAAAAATTAAGGCGTCGCAGGCGGCCAATTCAGGCCAACGAATCATTCACCAACGTATTAAATACTTTGCGTTCCATTTATTTGCTTAAAAACGAATAATTTTATTTACACAATAAAATAACTTTTATTTTTTTATAATTTACAATAATTTGGAAATATGAAAAAATATGAAAAGTTGGAATGAAAATAAATTATTGCCACTGAAGAATTTGTTGACGAGAAGAAATGGACAAAATTCAAATTAGGCTGGAAAAAATTTAGGAATTATTTTTAGTCGAATATTCGTTTAGTGGCGGCGAATCAATTGGTAAATGTGGCGGTGGTATCGTTCGATAAAGTATCTGCAAATAATATTTTGCAAAACTCAATTCTTTTTTTGTTCTAAGAGCATTCACCATTTGTGATTGGGCTCGCCTTGCTGGGTTGCCCATTTTGCCAAGAAGTCAAGCCGAGTGTGGCGGTAGAAGTACAAGTTAGTCGTTAGCATCCCTCGAATTTTCCCTGGTTTTAAAGACAGGTTTATTCCTGTCACGAGTAGAACCCTAGCACCGATGCTCCAAAATGAGCACAGCAATCCATTTTATGGTAATAATATTCAATCGCTATAAATTCAGTACAATTATTATTACATATAGCTATATATACTATTGAAATTACTAACTGGTAGTTGGAAGTCTTTATGAAGTGAAGGTTCACTTCAACAGAAGTGGAGTGTTGGTGATACTTTTTGGTTTTAAACCTGTTATTTGAAATGGATTCGAATGGATTTGTGTGGTAATCTACTCTACTTGCGTTCTTAAATTATTCAGCCCAGAAGAATCTCATCCTAGTAATACAACGTGAAGCAAGCCAAATTAGACACGTCAAATGCTTTTAAAAGAACGACGTAAAGGACAATATTACTTCAGCAATTCAGACTGTATTTGCAATATCTGCATTGCATTTTATTAAACTACACTAGATTACAACATTGGATGA